AAGTAACAAGCATGGTAGAAAAGCTGCATGGACTTATGATCTTAACCTGAAAGTCACTTTGCTTCCTTGACAGTTCTGTCCATTATTAGCAAGTTATAACACACACACAGATACACACACACACAGGTTCAAGGGAAAGAGAATTAGACTCCAACACGAGGTGAAAAAGGAGTGGCAAATTCTGGAAGAGTGTAGATGTAGAAAATAGTGTTTTCAGAATCTCCTGAAACTAAAGTTTGGCACAGGAAGGATGATTTGTGTGGAAGCCGGGTGGGAATGTGTGCAGCGTGACTTCGAGTGCCACTTGTACCTTGTCCAGAGCAAGAATTGCTCTAGGAGGAGTACAGTCACAAATTGGGTGTGCATAATGAAGGACCTTTCATTTTCACACTAAATAAATTAGACTTCAGTTGGTAGACATCTTAAAGGTACTCATTTCTGTTTTTAAATCAAGGCTAGCTTAAGTTCATGTAGGGTTTAGGAAGATGATCTAAATATGCAAATGTGCGTGGTCATGAAAAGACAAATGTAATCATGTCCATAGAGAACACAGAGCAGTAGCAAAGGAAACACACAAAAAAAAACAAAGGAAAACAAATCACTGGGAGTGGAATTATGGCTGACTGGCTGAAAGGATGCTGGAGGCCCAGAACCTGGCTCCTTTGCCTGACATCCATATACCTCTGGTGCTGGAAAGCAATGTGGATCAAGGCTTTCTACAGACCCTCATCAGGTCACTGGAGCTGGTTTGTTTTTTTTAATCTATTCTACAGGTGATCTTGAAACCAGTAGAAAATAGAAGTCAAGGTCCAGGACACAGAAAATGCAGATGGCAGGTCCTCAAAGCTGATAAAATGGCATACTCACCTTTACGTTCTTTAAATTCGTGTATATTGTTTATAAATTTTCATCAATAGCAAAAGGCAAATGTGTGCCGCTTCATTTTTCTTCCCAATAGGAAAACTGTAACCAGAACATTGTTTTTCTCTCTGCAATGACTGCTATTTCTTCATCCTGTTGGATTTTTTAGAGATTCAAACTTCCTCCTACCAACTCCTGAGACATGATCAATTAACCACACACAGCCCATCGAACACAGCATAGCTGTAATTAAACTAAATTACTATGTAGTAGCTTTCATTACACAATGACACAGGTTTTGTTAGGACCATACAGAGAGTTTAATTACATGTCTAGACACCCCCTGAATTCAGAGTAGCCATATTTTCTTTGTCTCTTTCAAAGACAGTTTGAGCTTGTCATGATTACGTTTTCAAAAAACAAAACCTAAGTGATAAAATACATGTGGGGGTTCCCCTCTTTTTTTCCTTTTCAATAGTGCATCCTACTTTAATGCATACTTAATTTAGGAACCATATACATTTTTAGGTGGAGGGTTTTTGGGGGGTGCAGGGAGAGGGGATTGGCAGAACTGAGGTTTAAACTCAGGGGCTTATTACTTGCTAGGCAAGTACCCTATTACATCTGCATCCATTTTGCTTTAGGCTAGTTTGTACTTTTCTTTCCTTCCTTTCTTCCTTCCTTCCTTCCTTCCTTCCTTCCTTCCTTCCTTCCTTCCTTCCTTCCTTCCTTCCTTCCTTCCTTCCTTCCTTCCTTTCTTCCTTTCTTCCTTTCTTTTTTTGTCATGGGGCTTGACCTCTGGGCTTGGGCACTGCTCTTGAGCCTTCAACTCAAGGCGAACGCTCTACCACTTGAGCCAAGTGCCACTTTCAGTTTTGTGGCAGTTAATTGGAGATAAGAGTCTCACAGACTTTCCTGCCCAGGTTGGCTTTGAACCATGATCCTCAGATCTCAGCATCCTAAATGGCTAGGATTACAGGCATGAGCCACTGGTGCCCAGCTTGTACTTTTCTTTTCTTTCTTTTTTTTTTTTTTTTAGTATACTTTTTTTTTTAATTGTGAAAATACAGAGGAGTTACAATTACATGGGCAAGATAATAAGTACATTTCTTATCAAGCATTGTAGCCTCTTCCTTTGTTTCCCCTTTCCATCCCTTCCCATCCCTCCCCCACCCAATCCTCCCCCCACCAGCAATTTTCTTTTACTCCCATCTTCTTTCTTCCCTACTGACAGGAAAGATGGTAGAGCAGGTCAAACAGCTGTCTCAGAAGTGTGGCAGGCAATCCAGCAGCTTAGGACAAAGCTGTGGAAGGGGAGATCTTTGGAGAAGATGCCCCCACATTTAGACACCTCAAACCTTTATGTGAAGTTTGTTTTCGACATAACGACTTGTACATCTCATTGTTGCAATGGGTCCACCTGTATCCCTATTTAAACGATTTGTTTTTCCCCTTCCCCTCCACAACTTATACCGATATCAAATACAGTGAGAGCAAGGGTTATACTGTGAGGGAGGGACATACAAAGCAAATAAGAAATAATCTTATAAATGTGTCAGAAACAATCGCATGAAAGAAAAAAGACATTTGAAGTCTTTCCATTTCCTAACAAATGAAGCAATGTCATTCTTTCTGATGGAGGCATAGAATTCCATTGTGTATATATACCACATTTTCTTGATCCATTCACCTACTGAGGGGCATCTGGGTTGGTTCCATATCTTAGCTATGGTAAATAATGCTGCAATAAACATAGTTGTGCTGGTAGCTTTAGTGTGGTCTTGTTTGTAAACATTTGGGTAAATGCCCAAAAGTGGGATTGCTGGGTCATTGGGGAGCTCTATGTGAAGTCTTTTCAGGAACCTCCATACTGCTTTCCAAAGTGGTTGAACAAGTTTACACTCCCACCAACAATGCAGTAAGGTTCCCTTCTGTCCACATCCCCTCCAGCATCTGTTGTTGTTAGAGTTCTTGATTTTTGCCATTCTAACTGGAGTGAGGTGGTATCTCAATGTTGTTTTGATTTGCATTTCTTTTATGGCTAAGGAGGTTGAGCATTTCTTCATGTGTCTATTGGCCATCCTTCTTTCTTCTTCAGAGAAGTTTCTCTTCAAGTCTTTAGCCCACTTATTTATTGAGCAGTTGTTTCTTTGAGGATTTGTTGTTGGGGGATGAGAAGTACAAGTTATCATGTCGAAAACGAACTTTACAACATTGGTGCGGGGTGGGGGGGGCTGGGAAGGGATGTGAAGGGTAAACAAAGGAGGAGGCTGCAATGCTTGATAAGAAATGTATGCATTATCTTGCCCATGTAATTGTAACCCCTCTGTACAGTATGTTCACAAAAAATTAAAATTAAAATTAAAAAAAATCAAAGCAAAGAAAAAAGACATTTGAATACATATCTTAGGGTTCATTTCCCTAACATCACCTTATCTGACCTTTTCTGCTTGTCCCAGACATATACTAGATATTGCAAATAAGGGAAACCATGGGACCTATGTTTCTTTGGACCTGGCTGGTTTGGGGCACACTTGAATAGATAGCCCCTAAGTGTTTCTCATAAAATTGTTCATTTAAAAATATTTTCAAAAGAATATGAATATTAGTGTTCATTTCTTATGTCAGTTTTTGATTGAGACTGAGGCTGTAATACTGAAACAATTCACCCCTTAATGTTTGCACTGAGTTGAGCACACCTCCTTATTTGTTCTTCCAGTTTCTTTATTAGTGGTTCCCATTTGTCAAGATAAGCTTTAGTGTTTAGGTACTTCTACTCAGATTTATTAGTTTTGACTCAACTAAATTATTAGACTAACATAACTCGTATAAATTCTTAAATTATTGGGTTTTCTTTCTCAAATTGTCACTTAAGTTGTTATTCTAATTCCTTACTTTCCTTTTGCTTAGTTTATTGATGATTGGCTTATTTTATAATAGCCAGTTAGTATGTCTATTTTCTCCAGTTCTTTTATCTATGTTAAATTCTCATGATTTAAATAATACATGTTTATAATCAGCAATATCATTATAATGTTTTTAAAACCAGCTATTTCTTTATTAGCTGTATTAAATAATATTCAGTATTAGATAATGTCACATTTTTCCCATGCACATTTTCCCTTTGACCATATAGAGGGCATTTTGTTCCCAAAATGTTTTCTTTTACTCTTCTTCATGTACACTGATCATTAAGTGACAAGATTAGTGTTCAATGACTTTAGACATATACTTCAAAGTCTAGTTTGAAAATAAAAGGACATATGTTGATTATTCCATTTTTAATTTCTTTTGCATGTCTTCAGGTGCTGTATAACAGATGCTTTCATAGTGCAGTCTGATAATGTAGACCTCTCAGAATGTCTGTGATATCAAAACTGTTTTATCATAACCTGAAGCCATTTTCCCCTCATTTGTAACAGTATGGTTAGATTTTCTAAGTCAATCTCTGTGATTTTTACATAGGCTATATACAGAAGCTAGAAGTCAATGAAATTTGCACAGCTATGAAGCATCAGTCTACTCAGTCATTTTTGTCTTAGGAAAAGAATTCTTTTATCCAAAAATGCTTATTACTGTTTTAAAGTTTCTGAACAAGTACTTTTTATATGTCATAGCTGCACACATCTAACTGTTCAAACACTAATTATGAACTATTTCCTGTAGTTGTAAGTTTCTTACATACTATATGCATTTCAGATATAAACTAGACAAATTTCAATACATTAATATCTTGACATTTTTGTAGTAAGAACTAGCCAATTCCATCCAGTATGGCACCGTGCCTAAAGAGAGCTCTGATATTCACTGATGAGCAAATATTTCATCCTGGGAACTGATAATTAAAAACAAAAAAACCTTAAATTACATTTATGTTCTGCTGTCTGCTAAACAGTTGTTTTGGATTGGTTTAGTTATTTGATTTGGCTTGTTCTGCATGCTAGACAAAATGGTCTACAACTGAGCTACCTCATAAGCTATTTGTTAAAGTGTGTAGATTAAGACAGGTTGACCTTTGAAACATTTTGAGTTCATAATGTATGTGTTCTTGAATAGCATAATAAAATGTAAGATTATGATAAGTCTCAGATATGGATATTGAAACAGAATTACACAGATGTTTCCTCATTCCTACGCAGTACCTACATGAAAATGGCATTGTCCACCGTGATCTCAAACCAGAGAATCTTCTCTATGCAACTCCAGCCCCAGATGCACCACTCAAAATCGGTGAGAACATTCCTCATGTTTCATGACTCCATTCTCCATAGTAGAAGAAATTTGTTGTGTGGAATTTTTATCTATAGCTCCATCCAATTTTTCCTCTGTCCAATTTCTTAGAATATTCTGCATGCACTATCTTGGAAGTTTGTGCTCTTTCCTAGAATGTTAACATGGAAATAAGGACGAGAAGTTAGTGCTCTGTTTCTGGCTGGATAAATGAAAGATAGCACTTAGCCATGATGAGGACCTCAGAAAACAACTTTGTGTTTTATACTTAAATGTAGAGTGAAGAAATGACAGAAAAACTAGCACTTCTTTGGGGCTATTGACTTTTAATCTACAAATTATTTGGAGCTTAATCTTAGATAATGAAAATTTTTGAGGCAAAATACTTGGTATATTGATGAATATAGCTTTGGAGTTACTTGCTTATATGAATTGAGGTAAATTAAGGTCTTTATTTCCCAAAAAGTGATCTCTAGGGGCATTGCTTTCTTGTTAACCATGAATAATTCCTCTTTTTGGGGGGTGGGAAGGGTTGTGAATGGCTTTCAGAGGTACTATTAATTAAGAAATGCAATTATAATCAATTAAGAAATGCAATTATAAAAATTAAACAAAATTTCAATTCCTGCAAGATTTCCCAAAACTTTTAAAAATTATTCCTGTACAGGTACATGTCATCTTGTATACCACAAAGTTGCGGTTTTTTTTTTTTTTTCTAAAAAAAAATCTATTGACTCTGAAAACCTCTTTTATTCCGCCCCCTCAAGAAGCAATTTGAAAAATGACTAATATGAACTTTGGGGAATTCTAATCAACTCGAAGAAAACCTAAAATCAGCATCTTGGGAGAAAAATATATTAAGTACATAGTGTACCTTCTATATACTTCCAGGTCAACTATTCATTTCCAGTTTAATCATTTTAAATGAATGAAATTCCATCCTTGGCAGAATGCATGTTAAATCCTCTCAAGTGCATTGCCCCAGTGCTTTCATCATGTTAAGCTGATGTGCTCACTGCATTTAAAAGCGCTAACACCTTGGAGAATTAAGTTGTTCTGTAAAGGAAGAGCTCAGACAACAGAATGTGCTTTATGAATGCGAGAATCTGAAGGGGGAAAAAAAGCCTAAGAATCCTGCTGGGACGCTGGCTTGTTCTCATAATCACTTCTGAAAGGCTGTGGACAGCGGGGAGTTTCAATTTCCTTTGACATCACTTTCAAAGACTTGATCCTTAAAGAAATTTCTTTAAATGGATGGATAGATACTAATTTAGGTAGAAGAGCCTTGCTTTCTGAAGGGTAGCCTGCTGCTTCTGCTGATAAGGATCAGGCACCTTGTGGAAATGTAGGTTCATCTTTGAAGTCTAAAATGAATTCATTCTGCACCTACCTCTCTTGAAGAATGGCCTTGAGCAGTTTCCTGATGTTTCCAGCAATAGATCACAACAGTAGCAACTTGGATAATATTTTACATAGGTAATTCACCTCAAAGGAATCAATAAAAATGACCTTTTGCTCTCCCCCAAAAAGGTCTTACATTCATCCCATAAGTATAAACATCCTATCTGTCAAATATAAGATATTATTTCCATTCAGCCAGAATAAGCCTTTCCACACCTGTTTATTTCCATGCTATTCATGGAAAAATATAATTTTTTTTCTTTCTACCAGTGAATAAAAGATCTTAAGTTATGTCACTAAGTCATACTGCTCCTTACACTGACTTATTGTCATATGAATGTCAGAATTAATAACTTCAGACAAAGCATGGCTATTGTAATCATGACTTTAAGAAAGAGTACCTCATCTGAGGGAAGCTAGGAGGAGGTCACAGAATCAGAAGAAAACAGCAGAAAAATACAACAGAGGGGTCCATTAGCTGCACTGGACATGGATGAAAATGAACTAAGCAACTAAAGAAGAGCTGTGGGAGCTAGGGAATGAGCAGGAAAGAGGGAACGGCTTAAACTAAGCAAAAGGAAATAAATGTGCATATCACCCGATTTGGAAGAAATAATTGTATTGTCAAAGTTTATAGATTTCACAAACTTTATAGACCATGATAATGACAGTTTGCCTTGTGAAGGTTAAATGTGTTTGTGACTTTAAGTATCACTATCCCACAGTACTGTGAAATTTATGTCATCACTTTATCTCAATAAAAAATTATTTTTTAAAAAAAGAAAGAGTATCTCTATCTACTAATATCGGGGAAAGAGCAATGATTAAATATAAACTCATCTTGCAAGGTACTTGGAAGTCATATTTTTTTCTCCACTTTAAAGAAATGCTTGAGTTACTTCCACTTCCTCCCAGGTGTCCTGTCACTTCCCATAGCCACCCTCCTCCATCAAATACAAAAGCAAACAAATAAGTGAGCTTAATTGTGAAAGTCAGAAGTATTTATAAAAGCTGAGGAAAGACTTGCTTCACTAAATTCTTCTCTTGTGATCACAGCTGACTTTGGACTCTCTAAAATCGTGGAACACCAAGTGCTCATGAAGACAGTTTGTGGAACCCCGGGGTATTGCGGTATGGCTCTTTACTAATGTGTTTTCCCTTCACTGACATCTGTATACTCAATCTACTTATTCAATCTGGTTCTTTAATTTTAACTTCTAATGTTTCTGTTTACAAATGCTTGATGTTTGATGTGACTCTTGATGACAGAGGCATGGATCAAACATACTCAGACCACTCCTGGGTCTTCTCAAAGGGCCCCAAGATGCTGGATTTTGGACTTGTCTGTTAGAATATCTGTCATGCAAGAACTACTCTGGTGCCCACTGAGAAGTGGCAAGCCACCAGGGAAGAAGGCAGTGGTACAGCAGAGTCCATGCCTGGAATTAAAGCCATGAGCCCTTTGTCATTTTTCTTCATTGCTTTTCCTTGGGAGGATGTCAGAGGAGAATGGGTACACTAGTTCAGATGGCATCCGAAACAGCAGAGAAATGGAGTGGCACCTAGGGTTACCAGGCCCCCCAAGCCACAAAGGCCTGTCTCTGCCTGTGGTGGCTCATTGTACCAACAAGAAAAAAATAACAGTGGGAGCTGATGGCTCCTGCCTGTCATCCTAGCTACTCAGAAGGCTGAGATCTGGAGAACAGACATTTGAAGACAGCCTAGGCAAAATGTGCATGAGATGTCAGCTCCAATTGACCAGCAAAAAGTTGGGCTGGAGGCATGGCTCTAGTGGCAGAGCGCCAGCTGCGAATAAGCAAGCCCAGGAAGAGTGTAAATATTCTGAGTTCAAGCATTGATACCAGGTTGGGAAATGGGAGAAAGGAGGAGGGAAATGACCTAAAACGTAAAATTTTAAAATTGGACTCATTTACAACTTCATCCCAAACACCAAACTGAAGAGTCATTCTATCTGTTTTCCTCACCTCCCTCATTGCAGTGTTAGAATTTCCATGGATGACACTGAAAAAAAAAATAGGAATAGTTGTGAAGTGGTCTAGCTGTGGGACCCCATGATTTTAGCGTGCTACAACGTAAGTCTGTTTTGGCTCCAGAGGCCAGGGACTTCTGGCTATCAGTATTGTCTCTGCTATCAGCCTGATATTTCCTGTACGGAGCTGGAACTGAAAAAGACACCTTTTTAAAAAAAAATCTAGTTGTTTTTTTTTTTTTGGTCGGTCGTGGGGCTTGAACTCTGGGCCTGGGCGCTGTCCCTCAGCTCTTCAGCTCAAGGCGAGCGCTCTACCACTTGAGCTACAGTGCCACTTCCAAAAAAAAAAAAAAATCTAGTTTTGAGGAAGTCTTGTTACCCTGTATCTTCTCTGGGTCTCTGGCTTAACCCCAGTAAGAAGAGAGCTTAAAGTAGGGGTTCCCTCTAAGAGTTCCCCTAACCTTTAGGCTTCCTACATCCTCTTGCTGATCTCCCAGAAATAAGTGAGGGTTGTAGTGCATGATTCAGAGACAAACAAAAGCCTTTAGCCTTTTTATTCATGGCTAAATTAATCAAGCTATAACCTGAAAGCTAAAAAAATGAAACCTTGCACATAGATATTACCCAGAATTCCTAAAAATGTGGTGGTGAATGAATATTCCACAAATCAATCCAATCCTAATCTAGATTATTCGAAAAAAGAAATCATATGTCAAGCTATACATCAACTTTTCTTCTAGAATCAAGCTTCTTTATACAACTCTTCCTCTTATTCATCTCTACAAAAAAAACATTTATTCGTCACCTCCTGTATAGTCAGGCCACCGCATGCCACCAGGGAGATTAGTTTTCTGCATCCTAGAAGCTTCTAACCTACAGAGGAAGAGGCATACACCCAGAAACAGCATTGTAAGAGATCTTGTGAAAAGGCTACTGGGGAAGTGCAAGAAAAGAAAGGTATTTGGAGTTGCTGGGCCTGTTCTTGTATAAGCATCACTAGTCTTACAACCAGATAGAAAAGAACGGTACTAACATAGAAAGCAAATCGAATAAACTACAATAAAATATCCTTTAAAGCAAATGTATCGTTATATCCATGGAATTGTAATGGTAGAAGAACCTCTACACTTCACTTGATAGCATTCTTGTTTCACTAATATCCAGAGAGCTTAAGTGACTGAGATACCACATCTAGTTGTTAGTGTCTACATGTTAATACCCAAATCTTAACTTTTTCTTTTTTTTTTTAATTTTAATTTTTATTTTATTTATTTATTTTTTTGGTCGGCCGTGGGGCTTGAACTCTGTGCCTGGGCGCTGTCCCTCAGCTGTTCAGCTCAAGGCGAGCGCTCTACCACTTGAGCTACAGTGCCACTTCCGGTTTTCTGGTGGTTTATTGGAGATAGGAGTCTCAGGGTCTTTCTTGCCCGGGCTGGCTTTGAACCGCGATCCTCAGATCTCAGCCTCCTGAGTAGCTAGGATTACAGGCGTGAGCCACCAGCGCCCGGCTCCAAATCTTAACTTTTTCTATCAGTGAATTCCTTTCTCTGGTGAATTTAAAATGCTTACAACTTTATTTTTCATAAATTCAACAATTGTGCAGAATGGGGTATTCTTTCTGTTAAATCTTTATACTGTACCAAGTAGTCTTGTTCTGCATCTTCAATTCATTGAGCCAATAGTAGTTTGTCAGTTAATAGTTAAGTTCAGAAAAATCAAGATAACTGCCTTAGACATGGCAGAAGTTGATTTCTCTCATAGTAGAAGTCTAGCTATAGCCAGTGCTGGTGAATAAGTTACTGGCTTCTCTTGGGCCAGTGTTGTAAGGCACTAACCTCATACATAAGGGGTCCACCCTCATGAGTTAATCATGTCCCAGAGGTCCCACCTCCTAAATCCATCTCCTTAGAAAAGATTTTATTTTATTTCAAAAGAATTCTGAGGTGATGAAGACCACTCAGATCATGTAAGACTGAGGATGGGGACTGGAAATATTTCTCAGTAGTAGCAGAGTTCTTTGTCTACTATGTCTAAGGTCTTATGTTTGTTCCACAGCACTTTAATAATAACGATGGTGTTCGGTTAGACAACTCATTGCCTCTGTCAGACTTAGGAAGCAAGAATCCCACGGTTTACAAGGAAATGTACAAGCCATTGTACTACTCTGCTTGCTCTAGGCACTCCTTTGTTTTATTTGGTTTTCCTTAGAGCTGTGCTCTGATCATCTTTCCATGAAACTTCTCTCCTGCTATATAAGTTTTCTATCTGTAGTTCATGCTACATCTGTATTTTTTCCTGCCTCCAGGTCTCTAAGACTATGAGGGGAACCTAAATTTAGTACTATGTGCCCAACACAATTGCCCATCAATTGTCACACATTGCTGACCAACCAACAGGAAGATTGAAAGAGTGAGAACTGAGGAATGATTAATAAATGAATTAAAGAGCTCTCACACAAAGAAAGATGATGGACAATTTAGTAATTATTTTCTGATATCTAAGAGATGTCCTAAGAGATTGGGATAGATTGAAACAATTTCCTAAGAACTGAACAGCTCTGGAATGGATAGATCAAAAAGATAGTAAACTAAATTAGTTTATTAGTAAACTTTAGTTTACTCTAATAGAAGGGACTCCTTTAGTGTCCTTTAGAGTCCCTTCTGTGACTTACACATAGCAGCAGTAGCAGCAGCCTTTTGAATAATCATGATGAGAGCAGTTCTTTCTTACAGCACTACAAAATGGTCTTTCTGTGAAAGAATGAGTCATTCATAGATAAAAATGAATCACTGAGTATCTGACATTCTCCATGTTAATCCCTGAAGGCTACAAGATAAACACACTATTGCCTTGCTCTTCCTAGATTTCATGGAGTAGAAGAGAAAGTCCTAGACAAAGTAAATCAGTGTGATGAGTTCTCAACTTATCTGAGTCAAAAGCTCGGGGGAACAGAAGGAAGGGAACTGTGAGTCCTGGCTAGAGACATCTTCCAAAGGAGAGGCCTTTGAGCTGGTTACAGGTAGGAGTTCAAGTAGAGAGGCAAGCACGGGGTGTCCTTGTTAGTGGGCACAGGAAGAGCAGAGTCATGGAGGAGTGGCAGCAGCTGCATCAGAGTCTCTTTGGCCCTTTGTCATTCTCAACTGGAACACTGAGTCCCTGTAGATGAAGGAACAGATAGATACAAAAGAGCAGCATGGAACATAGTTTCAAGGAACCTGTGCATTAGGTTAAGAAATTGTGAGTGTGAGGTAGGTAATGGGATCTGACAAAGGTTTTTAATGAGACAGTATTTTGAAATCAAAGCCTGTGTTTTATAAATCTAGATAATGGTATATAACATAACAGATATATTTGAGAGGGGGAGAGATATAAAGAGAACAGACAAATCAGAAAGCTAATGTTAGAAACAATCGCAAAAAAGAAGAAAACATCTGAAGACTTATCTTGGGGTTCATTTCATCTAACATCAACTTTTAAAAAAAAAAAAAGAAAGAAAGTTAATGTTAATGTTTTTTTTCTACCTTTTTATGTAATTGTTATACTGAGGATTGACCAGAGGACTTCATGCTTGCTGGGCAGGCACTGTATCACTAGAGCCATATCTCCAGCCCTCTTTTTTTTTACCTTTCTCATGACAGAAAATTATACATGTATACTGTTAACCCCTTAAGTAGCTTCTCTTTGTGTAGCCTATTTGATCTACTCCAATTAATTTTACGTATAATATGATTATAAAAACATTAATATCTTGTCCCTCACATAAACAACACTCATTTATAAATAATGTTATCTTGCAATGGATATTTGTGCTGTTTATTATTGTAATGGTCCTGCAGATATGCCTATCACCTTAGAGCCTGCATGATAGAAGAAGAGGCTGCTGAGTGGTCAGGAGTGTATACGATATACCATAATCCTTCTGCTCTGCTATCAGAGCAGCTCCTCAGGAAGAAGTGACTTGCGGTAATGGAAGAAAAGGAGGTGAAAGCAGCCAAGAAGCCTGAGGGAGAGGGGCTCAAATAGACTGCTTTCCTCTGAGATCTATTTGCAGGAAGTCTAGAAGACTGAGGAATGTCTTAGGCATGCCAAAGTTCGGGACACGCACGTGGAATAACTATAATATAGGCCTGAAAAGCAAAAA